TCAGTAATTTTTTACCTGCAAACAACGTTGATAAAAAAAAACAAGGGCATGTTTGATCAAACAAAAACAAATATTCATACTTGCTTCCCTCAACAAAGCTTGTCTATTCGGATTTGGTATTTCAAACAGAAACAATGGTGGGTGATGGTTTTCGCGGGGTAGCCACCACGGGTAGGAATAGGAGAGTTTCATGGTGGTAGTCGCAGGTCACAATGGTGGTGGCTTTGCAGTGGTAGGAGTTTTGTAGTAGCGGTGTTGATGGAGTGCAAGGTTGGGAGAGGAAGGGTTTCACTGGTTGAGGTTGAAGTTGAGGAAGGACACTAATAGATAAACAACTAGAGGTTGAAGTTGAGGAAGGACACTAATAGATAAACAACTATGGTGGTTTGGGATTTAGGATTTGGAGTGAAAATTAAAATTTAAAAAATATTTGGTGTGTGTATTAAGTAAGAATGTGTATAAAGGGGAATAAGTGTGTACAAATAGTAGCTTTCAGTGTGCACACATTTTTTTTATGAAATGGGTATATTTGGAATGTGCAGTATGTGAACTGAGATAAATACTTGAGAATCAAATTACAAAGTGTGTGAAATGAGAAAGGATGTGCACAAAGACAATCTAGTATGTGGAAATAAAATTTTTTCAAATTGACCCTTCCTACAAACACAAATATTGTATTATTATGAGTTACAAATACTTAATTAGCTTAAATATTATGTCCATTTCAAATCATTAAAATAAATTCAACAAATGTCAGACTCATGAAAACCATACCGTGCCAAAGTGACTGCTTTATCGGCTTTTCCTCCACACATAAAAATTACACGTATCCACAATTATTTGGCACCATGTGCCACATTTTTCTAGAATGTGCAATGGGCCAGTTTGTCCCATGAAACAAACAAATAGAGAGAGCTCACGGGTGCAACATAACATGACCACCACATGATAATATAGCTCACGGGTCCTTCAAACTTAGCCCTTGTTTGACAAATGACTGTTTTAATTTAAAAGTTAAAAAATTATTAAAAAAAATTAAAAAGTCAATAATTTATATTAAAAAGTTAAAAATTCTCTTTTCTCTCTACTCTTTGCACATTTTTTTATAAAAAATTGAAAAATCATTCTAAACATATTAATTTTTTTTACCTCATATTTTAATTAATCAAAAAATTATTAAAATAACATGTGCTCAAACAAGGCCTTAGCATATCACCTCTGCGACTATGAAAATATTGCCATTCCCAAACGCCGTCCAGGTCACTTGTGTTAACACTTTTTATCTAACTTTTAATTATAAGGCTTTATATTTGAAATGCTTCTAAATTTTTTTACCCATAATGATATATATATTGTTAGGTTAAACAAAGATTCTTACACTTTCAGACCTGAGATTTGGGGTAGGTGCTATGCTTTACGGCACAACACGACGTGTTGTGAGGCCTGTTAGGACGTGTCTTGAGTCTATTTTTATGATTCAAACTGCCTATATTATAAAGTTCGTCGAATAATCATACATAAAAAAAATCAGATCAATTGGATATCTAGAATCCCATAACAAGACTACATTTATTTTAAACAAAAATAAATGGTTAGTATAATTTTAATAATTTTTTAAAAATAATTATTGTTGATCATGAGGTTACGTATATTCGATTAACCTAAATTTTTGTATGAATAATATGCTTAACAAATCCTACAGTATGAACAGTTCAAATTATCAAAAAAGACTCGGAACATATCTCATTGGACCACAACATAGGTGTTGTGCCACAAGGCACAACACGAACACCAATTCCGTTCGGATTGTAGGTAAAAAATAGAAGGAAAGAAATGGTTGTAATATTTTATGGAAATGCTATAGTGGGCACCTATTTAGGGGTGCATATGATATGCAACTTACTATAAAATAGGTAATTTTATTACAAAATTTTGTAATAATAATAATAAAATTTGTAATTTTGTTACAAATTGGCGTAGCAAAATGTCTACAATTTTGAGATTGACATTACAAAAGTTTACAACTTGGTTACAATATATTTTTTTATGCCAATTTGTAATAAAATTATGCATTTTGTAATTGATGTTATAAAATTTTGTGACACAGTTATACATTTTGTGGTAGGGTTGCATACCATATGCACTCCTAGAGGAGCGCACACCATAGAAGGACCCATCTTGAAACTCTAAGGAGAATGGTATGATGTGCACTCCTTGGTGGGTGCACATCATATGCACCATTTGCAAAAAGTACAATTTTTTTTACAAAATGTGTAATTTTTGTCACAATTTTTTTTTTTTTTTACAAAAAATATAATTTTTGTTTCTCACAAAAATGTATAACTTTTTTCACAAAAAGTATAATTTTAGTTATATATAACTTTTAGGTGCATATCATTACTTTAAAATTTATAATTTTCATCATAAGAAACGCAACTTTATTCTCACAAAATGTACAACTTTTCTCACATAAATTATAATTTTTCCTACAATATGCCAGTGCACTTTGTAAACTCACACATGAGAAAAGAAAAAAAAAAATATGTGAGAAAGAAATACAATTGAGTTTTTTATTTTTTTATTTTTAATGGAGAATCTTGGTATTATAAATATTTTATAACCAATCAATTTGTTTCTCACTAAATCTCACAATTTTAATAAAAACGAAATAAACTTAATAAGATAGTTCTATTTCTTACTATTTCTCATTCCATTCGCGCTCAACCTAAAAGCTAAATACAAGAAAATAATTTTCTTTCTCATCACTTTTTATCATTTCTCACCAAATCACTTTATCTAAATAGAGTGTTCAGTAATGGGTAAAACACACATAAAAAAAGAAAAAGAAAAGAAAGAGTTATTTCTTTGGACTTAAAAATGAAGTTGATGAGCCCGTGCTCAAATCATAATTTGAAAATTAAAAAAAAAAACAAAAAAAACTAATGCTTCATGTGTTTTTTTCTTTTATATTTGTACTGTACAAATAAATAAACAGCACATATGCTACAATATTTTAGATAAAGTGATCCTTTTATGGTTTAACCCCCAAAATAGTGTGTGCTACCAATCAAACATCTTTCAATAAAGGATCTAATTAATGACAGCCTTAAGTGTGGTCAATAAAAAACATTTAAATGTCAAAAGATTTATAATTTTAATATATTTTTTATATATTCTAACTTATTTTTACATATTTTTTTTAATACTAATAATATCCCTAAGGGCTGTTTTTCGCATTTCACTACAATAAAATTAACATTTGCTCTCTGTATGGTTGATCATAAAAAAACTTAATTAGCAAGTGGAATAAAACCTTTATTGTAAAGACTTAATTAGTGATTTTGCATCTTGAAAAGTAGTAAAAAATAAATTTAAATACTTGAAAATTTAAGTAATTATTATTTAAATTAATAATACAAAAGCCTCATTTTGAGATTTCACCGGAGGCCTCAAAAATAGTTGGGTCACTCCTGTTACAAATATGTATTAAAAATAGTGTCTAGATTCCAAAATTGTTATTGCAGTTTTTTTTTATTTTTTTATTTTATAAAATGATTGTGATCATTATAAGTTTACATTAGTTTTTTTTTTTTTTTAAATTGTAACTTTATGAAATTCGATTGTGCATTTGTTGTATTTTAATACTGTCTGAAAACTTAACTAATTACTATTTGTACTTAAGTATTTTAGGGTAGAATATTTATAGTTTTTATTTCATAAAACATTAAATATGGTTATATTTATTTTTTATAAAAAATTAAAAAATATGTTTGTATATTTTTAAAAACTTATTTCAAAAACAAATAGTCCCTCAGTTTCAAAATATTAATTCCTTATTTCATTTTTCATTATTTCAAAATATCAGTCTCTTTTAAAAAATCAAGGACTAAAATGATATGAATTTTCTATTTTTCCATTCCTTTAAATTCATTAGCATTAATACACACAAAAAGTATAATTAGACAATTGATGTTCTCAAAAAAAGACAAACGATAGTTTTGGAAAATTAGTATTTTTGAAGTGTAATAATTGTACTATAAAAAGAAAATGAATTTCTTAAAATTTCTTAAAATTAAGTAATATTTTTGGATAAAAGCAGTAAAATGGTTGGTTGTCAGTGATTTTTGGCCATTAGAGTTTGAGATTTGCTCGAGGTGGTGGCCAAAGGTGAGGAGACTTTATAGAAACAGTAATGTTAGGTATTATGAAAAATCTTTCATAAAAATGATCATGAAAGTTTTGTAACCTTTGAATTACACTTAGAATAAAGCACTACACACTAATCAAGGTAATCCAAGGATCATAAATTTTTCATAATTATTTTCATGAAAAAATTTTCATGAACACTAACTTTTCTCTTATAAAAATGGTTGTTGGTTGTAACGATTAGCGGGGGTCATCAATGGTGTTGGTTGGAATTGAGGCTTGATTATGGGCAGAAGGAGGGGAAAGGGAGATGGAATTAAAACTTGTTTTCAAAGCAAATGAAAACATTTTTTTTATTTTTTATTTTTTAATTTTAAAATTTTGATTTTCTTTGTAAACATAAATATTATCAAACAAGAAACTGGTTTCGTCACTAAAAGCATGGCAACAATTTCCAGATTAGAAAAAAAAAAAAAGGGTCTTATTTCCTTCTATTATTGGCTTTGAGTGATTAGCAAGATTGCCACAATGATTTTAGCTAACATCTATACACTTATAAATTTATACTTATTAAACTAATATTAATCATATCATGTGATAGTTTCATGTGGTATATGCCATTTATCATATGTAATTAATATGATATCATGTGAAATTTATCATCATATCATGTGAAATTTGTCATCAATAATGGTACATATAAAAAAAAACTAAAAATACATAAATAAATCATCTCTTCAATTATGGTATGAAAGTGTGTGCACATCCAAGCTCGCGCGTGGTCCATCTTCACCACACCATGACACAGACAGTCAATCATATCTTCTTGAAATTCTTATAAGGGTATGAACCACAGGCCACATTAATCAGTGTCACAAACAAACCTACACTATACTATCTCCCTAAAAAAACAAAAACAAAATGAAACCATATTTTCTTCTCTTCTTCATTCTCTTCACAACTCTTACTACCACCAACCTTTCCCTCTCTTCTCACCACCAATCTCCAGCACCCGAACCAGGCCCGAAAAAGCCAGATAACGAAACCATATACCGGATTTCGAAGCAACTATGTTGGGGTTGCATTGGAGAGTCACTCCAATTCTTGTTTGCACAAAACATGGTTAGAGCAGCAAAGTGGGAACTACCTTTCACGTGGGATTTTGACCTCGAAAAATATGCAAAATGGTGGGCGGGACAGAGAAAATCGGATTGTGCAGTGGAGCATTCGTTTCCTGAGGGAGAGTTCAAGCTAGGAGAGAACATTTATTGGGGGAGTGGGTCGACATGGACACCGACTGATGCGGTGAGGGCTTGGGCAGAGGAAGAGAAGTACTATGATTACTCGACCAATGGATGCGCTGTTGGGCAGCAGTGTGGGCATTATACCCAGATCGTGTGGAGGAAGACGAGGAGAGTTGGGTGTGCTAGAGTTGTTTGTGACAGTGGAGATGTGTTCATGACTTGTAACTATGATCCGGTGGGCAATTACATTGGCGAGAGGCCATACTAGTGTGAAAAAGTATAAAAATACAGAAATCAATTACAGAATCAAATATAACTTTCTCACAAGACGTAAGTTCCATCTTTTTGTGAATTTTATATCTATGTGAAAGTATTATGTCTAATTCTGTGATTGATTTCTGTGTTAATAGAAGAATTGGTGTCATACATATATATGGTTGTGCATTTGGTGTTTGTACAATGTGGGATATGTGGATATGAAGGTGTTATAGTGAGTTTTGTGTCACCTATGATTAATTAGTCTAATACAATAATAGTATGCTCAGGGAAAAAATACAAGTCCAAAGGGTGTTGGTGCTCTGTTTGACTCTTGTATGCGATTTAATGTTAAATAATGTGAAGCAGTGTTTTGAATGGAAAATTCTATTCTTAAATAAAATTTATACAAAATATTTGGTAAGAATGATGTGGTAATATTATTATTGTATATAAATTCATCTTTAATGGTATTTTATTTTGAAATAAAAAATTCACATTTCGAGCCATATCATTATGTATGAATTTTTTATTTGTATAACATTATTCATTTTGAATATATTGGAACCCATAAGCTATTCATTTAGGTTTCCCAGGAGTATAAAGATTCAAATTTATGGAGAAGTGTCGAATATTTGATTGTCCTAACCTAATTTATAACTTGCTAATATACTATTAAGTGTTGAATAATAAAAAGTCAAGGAATTGTTACCCTCTTACAAGGTACTTGTTTGGCGTAGCATTTATTAAGTTAAAAATTGACAAAAAAAATAAAATCATGGTTTAGTTTCGATCTCGAACTAAGTTAATAGGATAGGCCGAAAGGGAGATATTCAAAAAAAACCCAATTTCCTATCCAATCTTAAGAAACTCACTCAAAAGGGAAAAGACGACTGGACTAAAAGAGAGATCACTTTTGATAATAAAACTTCACTTTTATATCAAGATTGAACGTCTCTGAATCCTGCTTAAGGCCAGCTTTCACTCCACTTTAGGAATGTCGACTTATACTTGCAATATCAAATTTCACCTTCTGGAATCCATGCTCTTGGCTCATATTCACATATGCCACAAAGCTGAAATGATTGATATCTTAATGAGACTAAATTATTGGCTTATCCATGAGGTTAATCATGGAGGTAATTATTGGGTTCTTTTAGACAAGGTCGGCTTTGATATTTTGGGGGTCAAAATGAATTCTTAATGTGAAACCTCTCATACAGTAAATAAATAAAAAATTTGGGATCGAAAGATTGTGTCTTTAAATTTTGATCATACATATAATTATTAAAATTTATTTAAATATATAAAAAAAAAGTTTAAAAAAATAAAAATAAAATAAAAGAATTCAAGTTAAAATACTAAATAAAAGTGAACAAATTGCATACTTAAAAAATATCCTTCTCATATTTTTAACTACAAAATTGCGAATCAAACTTGCATAATGCAACTTATTAACTAATCATTTTTAATTGATAAAATTTCTAATACATTCAATCTTTGTAACGCCCTCAAAAAAATAATACATTTATATATAAAAACTCCACATTCTTCTATTTATCAGAATTCCATTACAAAAAGTATTACATGTTAACGACAAAAGCAAATGCCCTAAGGGCTTACAGCTTTCCAAGTTAACACTTGCTTACAACAAAAGAGTACTAACTTTACACATTAAGCCCTTGGCTTGAATTTACATGTAATACATCAAAAAAAAAACGACAAAAGTGTGCCCGCCTCTAGCCTCCCAAGCTATGTCCTTGGAGGTGGCATGCTACCTGTACCTGAAAATGATATTCCCATATAGGGTGAGCCACAGCCCAGTAGAGATATGCTAAACAAAGTATGAGCAATGACTAAGACATTAGCAATTGATAAGTGTTCAATTTCCATAAACCAATTCATAATCCATTTCCATTTCTTATCAATTTCACAATTTCTATTAATGGCTCAGAACCTGGCCAACCACTTATATGAGACCAAGACTCATATTAAACGTTTTCCATTTTTACAATAGATAAACACACAGGTTATATCAATATCTCAACAGATAAGCATACAAACTATATCCACATTTCAACAGATATGAATATTAGCTATATCAACACTTCCCATCACAAGCATATGAGCTGTATCAACACTTCCAATGACAAGCATATGAGCTGTATCAACACATTATCTGACAAGCATATGAGCTGTATCAGTGGAGTCCATCCCCTATCTCCTCCCAAACAACATCCGGTTTAGAGGTCCATCCCCCATTTTCCTCAAAACCGTGGAGTACATCCCCTATCTCCTCCCACACACACACAATGCATATATACACAAAGGTCATATACACAATCAATCAATACATATCGTTAATGTATTCTATCAACCGTCATACTCTATGACATATCCAATTGATTAGTTTTAGTTTGCCTAATCATCATGCATTGTCTACAACAATCAAAACTACCCTCCACCGGTAGACCAAGCAGTTATTTCTAGACAGATAATAAAAGCTCCAACAGATAAAATATCAATGTTTTCAAAAATGGGCGATTAACAAATCCAGCTCCACTATTCTACCATATAATGAGTCAACTTCATTATTTCCAACTCAATTCCATAAAGTCACAATTTTCTCAAAATTAGGGTTTTCTACATGTATGTAATTTTTATATAGTTGCAAATACAAATCATTACCTTATTTCTTAAGTTGGCAAAAGACGTTCGCCCAGTCCTATGTGTTGGATCACGAAACTCCTGATTTTTTAGAATTGTATAGCAATATCCTATAAAAATAGATTATACAAATTTGTGAGAATTGTATAATTGCCATACAAGAGGTACATGAATATACATACATTTGCTTCTTTACCACTTCAGTATGCCACAACCTCCCTCTACTGGTCTTGCAAGATATTTAGAGGCACATTAGAATCAACCCAACTCTTATCCATTGTCTTACTTTTCTGAACTTTTCTTGTGAAAATTACATCACAATACTTAGTCATCACAATTCTAAATGATATTTGACATTATTTGTATGGTAGCAATTATTAGTATTTTTTTTAAATTTTTTATAAATACATGTTCACACAAAGAGTGAGTATAGTTAGGTTTTAATAAAAATAATGATATACTAATTGAACAAAGATTCTATTAAAGTACCTTTAATTACACAAATAACACTAATTCATTATTCTAGTGCAAAATTCTATGTAGAAATTTTGTAGAATGGCATTTTTTTTTCTAAAATTAACAAGAGCAATGTTATAAAAGCACAATTCACCCACGACAACTTGGCAAGTGAGTTGGCTTTAGAGCATCTCCATCAAATTAGTTAGTTTTTTGGTTATGTTTTGGCTTAAATGTTACTTCTTTTTCTTTTCTTTTTTTTCTCCCTATTTCGATTATGTAATTTTTTAACACACCATCCAACAAACTCTATATTCATGCCATTATGGGTACATTAGGAGACTTTTTAGAGTTCTCATTCTTTTCTTTTTCCAATTAAAAAATAGAAATAAGTAGTTAACTACACATTCAAAGAGTACTATATTAGTTTAAGACAACTAAAAAATTACCTCCTGGCATATGGAAGTTCAATAGTTGTTGTAACGCCCTCAAAAAAATACATAAAACCCATCACTCTAGACATGCATTGATATAAAAGAAAAACCATTTCTATTCATCAGAATAATTCTTACAATTGTATTACATGTTAACAACAAAAGCAAATGCCCTAAGAGCTTACAGCTTTCCAAGTCAACACCTGGTTACACAAAAGAAGAGTATTAATTCTATACAAAATAGCTCTTGGCTTGATATACATGTAATACAAACAAAATAAACAAAAAGAGTCTTCAACTCTTATCATCATCCAAGCTATGTCCATGGAGGTGGCATACTAACTGTACCTGAAAATGATGTCCCATAAAGGGTGAGCCAACGCCCAGTAGAGATATGCTAAACACAGTATGAGCAATAACTAAGACATTAGCAATTGATAAATGTTCAATTTCCATAAAGTTCATAACGCCATTTCATTTCATTTAATTTCCATTTCTTATCATTTCACAATCTTATATAACGTAGAACCTGGCCACACTTTTATATGAGAAATGCTCATTTAAGCATTCCCATTTTACAAATAGTAAACATGCTAGTTGTATCAACATCTCACAGATAGGCAATTACAAGCTGTCTTTCAACAGATTGCATTTAAGCTATATTCAACATTTTCCAATGATATACATATTAGCTGTTCACACTTGTCAAAGATAATCTGATGAGCTATTGCAACATTATCGTACCAAAGGCATATGAAGCATGTATCAGCCTCCGGGAATTGGCGACATACAGATATACCTTACCTCTACAATTCTCACCTAGGAGCCTCACCTCCATGTCGGCCAAAAAACACTAGCTTAGTCAGCATCTCTGCCGTATAAGGTGTAAAAGATGCTCTCGAATTACTCGGGAACTTTATACCACTTTCATTGAATCTCATTAGAAATCCAGTCTTAGTAACAAACTGCTTTGTTAGAAGGTTGGACAATACGGGTTTCATAGGTATAAAACATGGCATTTCATCGAACAAATCTCAAGTTCCTACAATACATCAAACATAATTATCACTTTGATACCATTCAGCTTTACTCCAACTACAGATCATATATATATTTCACTAACAGATCAATGAAGGATCATTGTACACAATCAACACAAGTAACAAAGTCAAACAATAATAGAGCGTAGAGCAATTCAACAGGGCGTTTCCCTTATAGTGGTTGCGTGAACCTACACAGTATGCACAGAATACATACATTGAAACACATGTTCGGAGATTATACCATAACTTATCTACATATTTTTCTTAACGCTATGTGTGACGATAATTCCTTACTTAGCACTTATAGTCTTTTTTAGTTTTGCCTTCATATTCACCGAATGTGCCATCTTAATTGCTTGGCCTTTAGACTATGACCTACTCCTGGCAAGAAACTGAGAGATGCAAAACTTCGCACGCACTTCGAAAGGTAAAAAACATCATATTGTACAAAACTTTTGCTGAACTTAAACAAGAGAAGGTCCACGCTCGAAGACCACTTCCAACGACTGTACTAAAATACCACACCTTGGTGTCTTGTACGCAAAAATGGTGACAAAACAGATGAGAGTAATTAATCTATCTTGTACCAACGAGTCTTCAAGCGCCATATATATCACGCAATCATTATTCTCTGTAAACCACTTTGACAAAAGTTACCATGAACTGTATATGTTCTTTGTTTCTTCCAATAGACTTCTGAAGCGGGAGCGTTTCGATTCTCCCTTAGCTCGACGCATTTTCCAAATTGAGCTTGACCCAGACACCTGTCGACTTCGACTAGCGCTAGACTATCTGTCGCTCAAGAATCGCAAGATCGAACCAGCACT